ACACACACACACACACACACACACACACACACACACACTTGTTTAGCTCCTAACATGTGACAGTTGAGCAGTCTTGTTTAAATTCTAAATTTCTGATAGTTTATCTTACCAGTCAAAGATTTCAACCCAAGATAGCTAAATGATAGTACAAACAAGATTAAATTGAAATGTGATAGTTTGTTAAATAAAGGTGATTCTGCTTGATACTGTAAGGTCGAAATTGGCCCACCCCCTGTCGAAGTTGCCCCGTTTCGCCCTGTCGAATTTGCACCACCAAGCACCAAAATCTCACACCATCATTTTAAATAATCATGTAAATATAGAGTCATATATTGAACAGCTAATTCTAGATGGATTTAAATGAACCTAAGGATACCAAAGTTTTGTGAGAATAAATTATATAACTGATGAATATTTTGAAGCAAGAAAACAAGGTAGCAATGCCAATCGGGCTTTCCTGCGCGGCGAAAATTTGGCCCCCGTTTGCGGGTGATTTTGCGGACCCGGCTGAAGCATAGGTGACTAACTTTGTCAACCTCGGTCTGCTCTATTTCCAAACCAATCCGAATGAAACTCGGCAACCAATCAGAAAATAGGGCAAACTAATGATATTTGAACATTGAAGTTCGTACACATAAATTTTACTATACTTTTTTTGTCCGGAACACTTTCGTATCGTGTACACCGAAAACTATATAAGGAGTTTGAATTTCAACGCCGAGATGGTAATAGATCCATCTATCCTCTATAGTGTGCTCAAATTTGAATGTTCTGTGTCAAGCAATTGTTTAGACCCGATCATAAATGCACGACTACCCCCCTTTCCAAAGCGGCTTCGTGCGGAGACCGGCCGTTTTCCCCTCACTCTCGCAGCAAATGTATGTGACCTACAAATCCCCGCATGACTATTCCGGGCTCGTTCATTGGTCACTTGAAATAAGGCAATGGTGGGCGCGCGCATCCGGTTGTTTTTCTGTCTGTTCCCCTGTAACATCGTAATGGGGGTATTCCGAGGCGAGGTTTATCTCGTCTCGGGGTGTTCGCGTCTCAACAAGGAAAAAGAATTTTTAATTGTACGGCATGCTAGATTGAATTAACTTATCTTTTACGGTTGGCATGGTCTAAAGTCATCATAAAAAGCTTTGCAATTATTTAGTCACGCTGCCGACATATATTCTTAAAGATCCCATGTTGTGATACTATGCTATAATATAAATAAAATGGACTCATCATGACACCCCTTTTTTGCAAAATCGTAATATGTACACCAACATTTTAATTATAACAAAGTAACTACGAACTGGGTAGTAAATCTGACTGCAGAAATGATTTCTACACCCAAAAACACATCGGGTAGCCAAGTTTCTCTCCAACACTCCGATCAGTTGAGATATCGTCGATTTTCTTACAGAATCTGCTACTGCGTGGTCCAGTTTTTAGGAGTATTTTCCTATATATATGGGTCATCCATATTTTGCCGACCTTTACAACCCCATAACTTTTTTATTTATGAACTGATTCTTAAAATTCAAGAAGCATAATTCTTAGAATTGAAAATTCTTTCTTAAGTACCAAATAAAAAAGGGCTATTTTAAAGTGAAAAATTAAATTCTCATTGGCATTGCTAAACAAGGGTGTATAAGAAAGCAAATGACAGGTGAAGTACCAATTTTTTTCTTCAAGAGCGAAAAGTATGCGGCGAAGGAGCGCGGAACTTGGATGGGTGTTTTTGGAGCTTTCTGACTAATAATAGAAACAAGTGGAAGCCCAGGAAGCCCAAATTTTATTTTTACAAAGTGGGCTTTGATAATTCTACAAAACAGAGGTCAAATGATTCGTAAAAGCCAAGTGTAGGTTGAGGCTGTCAAAGTTGCCCCATGACCAAATTTGTCAGAATCTACCCTTTTTCAAATTCTGCTACCTCAACTCTACATCTTGATCAGGACCTAGCTTTTCCAAACCTAGCAAATAGAACTAAGCCTTTAGAAACAAGTGCTTGGAGAGTCATTTTGGGTGTTTATTGTTAATTTCAACGTCAGTGATTTGAGTGAGGTTTACTTGTGAAGTTGAATTCAGCTGATCAGAAATGTATTTGGCCTTAAGTAGTGTCTTAACACGGTTGACCATCAAAGTAAAAAACCATCATGGTTCAATAAATTTCCATGCAGGATACTTGAAAGATAAAAATTGCTTTCTGTGATTTCCCTTTAACTCTTAATGAGGGATGACATAATTGCTACTGTACTAGAGAATAAATGGGGAGCTGGTCCAGGATAACTGATACACCTTTTGAGCTTTCTGCAGGCCTTTTGTTCTTTTTTAAATGTTACATTTTGATCTTCTCCAATCTTTCCTGTAGCCAAGTCAACAGCAAGACTGAGTGCCAACCTGTACTTTGCTTTCATACGTTCACTTTGAAACTCAAGGCTTGCCTGATTAGTTTATATTGTTCTTATCTGACCAGATACTTGATTGATATCAAGTAAAGTTGTAGATCTAGGTTAGAAATAGTCTAGAACACTGCTCTATAATGAATCAGGACTGACTGACTGTAGCCTCTAAATCGGTAGAGAAGTGATTTCCAATTGTTTACAAGGCAGTTGTGAGTTTCTGTCTATGTGTAGGAGCCAATCGTAAGCAAATAATTTTGAATTTGCTTAGTAAATTAACTGAAGTATGTATAAGTTTATATTAATTAAGCTATCAAGATAGATAACTATAGAGGCCTAAAAAGTCTTGAGTTTAAATGAATGTCATGAGAACAATAGTTTTTCCAAACCCTGCAACAATGTGTGTTGTATTGTATATACCCCCCCCCCCCCACAAGCACACACATTTTATAAATTTATGTATTTAAAATAATGAATTTTTCAGTTGCTTCAAATCCAAGACCTCGTAAAAAAAGAGCAAAACCAAAGACTGTCAATGATGATGAAGCCCTTCTGGGTAAGCATTTTGTGTGAAGTGTGGAAAGAAGATTTCATATGGTATGGATGATCTAATATTGAGCCTGCTTCTGAAGCTCAGGATTTAATCATTTCATAAACCTTATTTCTCTCACTGATATTGCGAAGTCTTACAAAAGTGACATAATTTAATTGATTTATTTTTGTTGGGTTTTTTTTTTTTTGGTGCTTAAATGCTTTTTTCCCTTACTAACAGAAATGTAGTGTTCAAAGTAAAAAAAATGAGATGCCTCCTCCCCACCCCCTTATTATGAAACTACTAAATTTTTCCCAAACAAGGTTTTAAAAAAAAAGGAAGCAGCTACTCTTATCTCATAGGTTCATAGCTTTTGTATGTTGCGGTTACTGTATCATTCTGTCTTTCTTTTTTCAGCACACACACCGACATCAAATACCCAGTTGAGAGTAGATCAAATATTGCAGCAAGTTGTTGCACAATCAACAAAGTGAGTGATGATTTTTGTTCTCCACTTTTTTGGGTGTCTGTATGCTGTCCTTCAGTTGTTATTGTATTGGACTATTTCTTTCTGTCATCTGAATCTCTATTTGAAAACTTGATGCTGTCTTAATAATCAACGAATTTTTCTTCTTAATGGATGGTTGGCAGGTGCTCTGGTGTGGTTTTCTCCCTCTTCCGGACTATCAAACATCTGCCATCCGTATATGTCCTCCTTCTTTTTTGTGTTTGCTGCTCTCTTGTAATTTCCCTCTTGGATAATAAAGTATTATTATCTTATCTTATCTTACCTTAACTCCTCTAATTCTTGACACTATATGACCTTATTGTGTTGCAAGTGCCACAAAAGCCTACTAATTTTTTAAAAAGGAATTATTATTTTTACTGTGTAGTTCACCTTTTCTTGAGGCAAATTTTATTGGTACAAAAGACAGTGAGATCTGTAAATGTGCTCTATTATTAAGGAAAAAATAATTAATGTGATTTTCACAAAGCTACCTCTTCAGTTTTGGGCATTTAAAAAGAGTATCAGTTACCATAAGTTACAATGCTTTGACTCTTTACACTTTAAAGATCTTAAAGTTGAATCTTGATTTTCAAGAGTAATATTTTTTAGAAAAGGCATGAGTATTCCTTAGGGTTATGAATTTTTTTGGTGTGAATTGTGCTTATTGTGAGGGATCTTTAGAATTCAGAAGTTATGTAGGGTTTGATGTGTTCTTTCGTCATGACTTTGTGTCTTTCTCCATGGCTAAAGCTAAAGACTTGATTTTTCCTTCTTTTTTTTCTTTCATTTTAGAGAGGCAACAGACGTGAAGAAAAAGAAAAAGAAAAAGCCAAAGAATGAGGAGGAAGAACATGTGGTAAAGTTTCTTTCATTTTTGTTTATTTGGATTACAGACACAGCTGTTTAAATGATAAATTATATTGCCTCTTGTTAATTTGTGATCAATATTTAACTCTTTTCTCCCTATGAGGGGGTACAATGCTTTGCATTTTGTTGTGTTTTCCCTGGGAACTACATAATTGCATCACAAACTCATACACAAGTGTTTTGTATTTATTTGGTAGATAATTCATGAAGGTTTCTTTGGAAAACAAGGCTTGAGAGGTTGAATAATTTTACAACCATTACTTCATTCTGCTATATTTTAGAGGTTTTTAGCATGACACAGGGAAAGTGGGAGAGCAGATCTAATGTGTGCAAGTGAATTTTTATATCTGTTGACTCTTTCATGCCGTGTTTGCTCTGCCACATCCTAGTTATTTTTCAACTATATGCATTTAGAATTTGCACATGGGTTTGAAATGCTATTGGCCTTTGGGAATATTGAACTTTTAGGTCAGAAATCTTGTCATATTCCTAAAAGCTCAAACGAATTTGCTGCTTTAAATAAACAAGTTTAATGTGTGCTGCAGATTTAAAGACACGAAAACGTTCAGACGTTTTCTGTGTGTTAGCTCTCACATTTTAAAGTTTTTACTGTTGTGACTATGTTGTATCAGTGAATGGATTTTTATTTAACAGCTGGAATCTTTGAGGAAAGGTGAAGGTATTCATGGATTGCACAAAGATGAGGACAGTGCTATTCTGGCTAACACATATGACCCAGATGACTACAGCAAAAGTGAGAAAAGCAACAAACAGAGGCAGAGACGAAAGGACAAAAGTAAGTCCATATATTTTAGAATCGAAGACCTTATGCTGGTCTAGGTTCACAAGTAGCTTATGCATTTAATGCATGATAATGATAGAAAACTGCATCTCCCCTCAACGCTTGTCGGCAACAGAGGATGAAAAAGTAAAATAAAAGTAAGTAATGATGATAATGATAATGGAGATAATTTCTATATTGCCTACTCTCATTCAGTACAGCTCTAGGCATGTTACAAAACCTTCATCTCAACACAAAACACAGTGAATGAACATTCGTGCTTATGCTCTTTAGATTAAGGCTAACACATTTGTAGACATTCATACTATCACAGCACAATCAATAGCGATATGCATATCTCAATATGAGTATGAAAAATCTTGTGCCTGAATCCCCCTTTCAGTGAGTTATATTAACCAGTAGAAATTCAATAATTTACAGAAAGTATTTTTACCAATTCTTCTTCACAGATAAAGACAAGGTCAATGAAGATGAAAAACAGAATGTTGATGAAAATACTCCTGAACAGTCTACACAGAAAAAGAAGAAGAAAGTAAAGAAGAAGGAAGAGTTCATTGAAGACGAAATTGAGAAGGAATTGTAAGTTCAGTGTGGTGGATATTGTTTGTTCACTTCCAAGTTGTTGTAAAGTTTTAGAAAAGGAAATATTACTTAAAGAAAGATAAGATAGAAAGAAAAGGCGTTGTGCTATGTTTGGTTCCAAACTTTCCATTATTAAATGTATATCCTATAAAACTTGAAAGTATGTCCTTAACACACGGACACACATCCCATGTAACTTAAAAATATGTCCATAACAAAGTAAAATGATACTACTGAAAAATGTATCCCCTTCAATAAAGTGTGGTAGAAATATCCCGGCTTTTTTACTACTAGTTCTGAATGTCACCCACGGTTATTATAGGTGACTGCTTCCTTGCACTGAGAATGTTTGTCTACCCCATGTTTTTCAGAGAACTTATCGATCAAGACAACAGCAAGCCGAAGAAAGAGCCCACAGCAGCACCAAGGAGGAAAAAGGTATTGATCGATTCGAGGATCTTTTTTTGTAAAACTTTTATTTGTGATCATTCTTAGAAACTGAGAATAGAGAGTACAGAGAGCATAACTATTTAGATGAGATGTAGGTATTTACTCAGGAACAAAATCGTAATAGTGCCTGCAGTCAAAGTCAAGAAATAAGAGGTTTTGATAATTTTGTCTTTGAGGAAGTGTACTATTTTTGTCTTATTTTGATGTAGATCTATGTGGGACATGTCATCATCCTGTTTAAAGATTACCACCTTTCTTTTTAATGAACTGTTGAGAAGCATTTTGATGTGATATCCTCCTTCAACTTGTTTTCAGTGTTCCTGTCATCTTAATTTGTTTTGGGAGAAATTTAATGTGGAGGGTATTACAGTATTTTGTTCTAGATTTCAAACTCAGCTAGCTTTGTTTTCAATGATATGGTGCTAGAGAATTGCTTCTCTGGACACGAGAAATAGTGTATTATGTAAATTTTTCTACTATTTTTTCTCTGAATCATTTCATCAGGTCAAATCTCCACCTCCTGAGGAGGAAAGTGAATCTGCCCAAAACACAGTTCTTTCAGACGAAGGTGACAGTCAAATCAAGCCAAAAGTAAAGAAGAAAAAGAAACCAAAGACAGAGCCTCCAGATGAACTGAGTGTTGAAGAAAAAGAAGAAAAGGAGGAAGCTACCGTTGAGCCGAAAACTAAACCCAGGAAAAAGAAAAAGAAGAAAGAGGAAGATGATGAAGAGGTGGAAGGGAAGGAAGAGGCCGATGCTGAGGAAGAAGATAAGGTCAGCCATTTTTATGTCTGTTAGCATTGATGGTATGTCAAATCAATTATAAAGTATTGAGCATAATTTTCTCTTTTGGTATTTATGCTGGAGCAGTACTTAACCTTCTGTTGACACTTTTTTACACTGTTAACACTGACCCCACCCAATTTTCTGACGTGTTCTCTCTAGTTTTCTGTATTTCTGCCAAGTTTTTTTTTTAAACTGAGAATTTTATTTGTTATTATGTTTTACTTGTGCAGCTTTCTCTTTTGTATTGTCCTTTCACACTAATGATAAAATGCAGGAATTTTCTTCTTCTCTAGTTTTATGCTGAAGGTTTCACTGTTTCTATTTGAATGCCAATTGAGTTCTGTGATTCCGTAGGATTTGTATTGGGTACAGTGCAAATACAGGTATAAAAGGCTCATCTTTTTCTTAGATTTATGTTACATTTTATGGATGATGTCTTATTTTGGTTTCAATTCAGGAGCCCGAAACAAAAGAGGAGGAAGAGGAAGAAAAGGCTGGAAAGAAAAAGAAAAAGAAGAAGAAACTCAAAGACGCAGGTTGGTCTGTTTACCAGTTTCATTGTTCCTCGTGATGTATTTCATAGAAATGTTATCATGGGGACTTACGGGCCCAAGTCCCCAATAATTGGTCGCTTTTAAGGACAAGTGGGCTAACCCAGATTTCGGGGGTTTCCAGAAATCTTGACCTGCACCGAAGTGGGCATTGCCCTTCCTATAGGAGAAGTTTGGTTTCATTGGTGTGTATATTTATTTGGTTATAGAGAAAACCTTCCTTGTCTTTTAAAGAAAATGAACAAGGGTCCAAAAACTTTACCTTTGATTATCTCTAAACAACATTTTTCCGGATAGCCGCCTTGTGCTTAAAAGTGACCTATTGTAATAGACCCTTTGTAAATAAGGCCTTGATTTTTCTATCTTTGATGAGATTTAATTTACATAGCATAAATACTTTTCCTTTCTCCACATGAATATCAAGAGTATGATCGTCATGCAAGGCTTAGTAGGATGAGGACATAATCCAAGAAGCTTTACAATGTCTAAAATAATGCTTAGGATAAATGGGACACAAATAAAGAAAAGATAACATTTTATTGATCTCCACAAAGATAAGTAGTAAATACTTACATACACATACACATGTCTACATACACAGATGCACATACACACACACACACACACACACACACACACACACACACATACACACACACACAAATAGTAATTGGATAGATATACAAAGTTAGTTATTCTCTCACAAATGACCATGACAATTAATCCAAGTTCACCAAAATATGATAAGAAAGAACAAGTTGACTCTTAGTTAATTTAGAATAAACTGCTCACTCACAACTTCTTTAAAGAAATGGAAACGCAGAATTTGTGTCACCCATGTTTGTTACTGTGAAGAGACAGTTTTTTAACTTATGTATGTTGTCCCTCTCATGATTGGTAACATATCATAGGTTATTCTTTCTTCTAAAAAATGATTTGATTTCAGTGGTGGATTTCTTGCAGTCCTTTAAAAGAAGTTCAAATGGTAATTGTTGGCAACTGATAATCATCTTTGGTGATTGGCTTTATTTGCATGACAGGTTTCGGTGTTTGTTAATTTAGGCCAGACATAATTCTCTTTAAACATTAGATAAACTTCTTTCAAGTGACCCTTCATGTTTTTTAGGACTGATTTTAAAAATATATTTTCCACACATATTGAAGCTGTCTGTAATTTCATAATTTGAAATATAAATCAGAGCCAGAAGAACATTGTTTAAATGATGAAAAATGTTCAACTCCAGTTTTGTTGAATCTGAATACAATAGTCCAGACCAGTGTCAAGGGTTATTCATCAATGAAAAAGACATGGATTTTTAATAGCTAAAGAAAAAGATATAGACTATACTATTTTGTATAGGAATGACTTCAAAAACATAATAATAAACTATCCACTGTCAAACAATTGTGTGTCACTATTCTTTTGTCGTAGCTCCCTTTAAAGTTTGCATGGCTTTATTTTGTTAAGAATTATTGTTAATTTCAACGTCAGTGATGTGAGTTAGGTTTACTTGTAAAGTTGAAATCAGCTGCTCAGAAATGTGTCTGGCCTTAATTTTGAAAAAAAATGTATCAAGGACAATTTTGGTGTTTACTCATGAATGCACATATTTTTTAGCAGAATAATTTGTTGTACTCGAGATGGATGTGAAATTAGTAAGTCTGCTCAGATTGCCATTAAGGGAACCTTACACTCGAATACCGTAATGTAACGTGGGTTTGTCATGTCTTCTAATTCACTCAATCCCGTGACCGAAATATCTCGGTCAGCTCGCGAGCTGCATTCAATCCCACGACCAAGATAACTAGGTTCTATAATTTTGTTCCATATACTCGTTATTTCATTTCGGAAAACGACTTCAAGTTTTGTATGAGGTCAATTTATTAATTCCACTGCCAATTCTGCCCTGAAGGGTGTGGAATTTTGTTTCTACTGTCTTTACATAGGGAGAAATCACGCTTTTTATGAAGGCACTTTCAGCACGTTTGTTCATGACATACAATATGTAGATCTAGACACTCACAAGCATATTTGAATATTAATGTAGGCTTACTCTTGCTCATTCGGCCATTAAAAAAAAATTAGCCCCAAAAATGCCAAATTTGTACAACACCCTAAAGCAAAACTACTAAAGCTACATACTTCAAATCTGGTATGTCTAAAGATCCATCTTAAGTTTTACTTCATGCCAAATGCCAAAGCAATTGGATAATATTTATGGTTACTAGCGGGCCCTTCTTTAAGTGCCAAAATGACCGGTTTCTGGGTACAATTTTGGGAAGAACTCCCGGGATTGAGTGAGTTAACAAGCCTGTAGACTGGCTTCTGAATGTTTAACATAACACTGTCTGTTGGAAATGGAACTGCTTACTGCTTGCGGCATGTCATCGGTGAGAGTACCTGTTGCTTGCTCTCTTTTTCTACCTATGTTCTGACTAAGGCAGCTCTAGGTGTAATGGGAAGGGATAAGACAGAGTATTTCTTCAATCCCACACCAGGACAACATATTTTTCATTTTTTTCGCCCTTCTTCTCAATGTGTCTTGCACAAAATGGGATAAACCTAACTGGCAAAACATAATAGTTGATCTGATTTGTGTATAAGACATTTAAATAGAACAAAACAATAAGTGATACCCTCTAGCCACAGACTGTTGTTTACTACATTTGTTTGTGGCTTAAAGAGAACAGCTTGCATAGCGCTTCAAAGTTTGACAAAACAAAGTCAATTTAAAACTTCAGATATTTTGCTTAATCAAAAGACAACCATAAAAATTTGTATTGAAAATTTATCTATAGCTGTCAAAAAAACCCCAAAAAAACCGCTGGGGTATCGTATTCAGATGAATTACTCAGATAATCAGAATTTTCCTTCATTTGTTTCAGTTTATCATGTTAAATGTAAAAGATTTGGAAGTGGTAGTAAATAAAGAATAGCCATTTTTCACATGGAGCCACATGGTGGCAACAATGTTATGACAGAGTGAACGGAGAAAAGTACTCATTTTTCATTGGGAACCATGGGTTGTACTTGGATAAAACATTTGATTTAGCTGCATATATTCAGTTGTTTGTCATGTATTTTAGGAGTTTGCTGCGTTGACTCTTTGTTTTTGTAATACAGTTCTGTGTTTGTTTTTTGTTGGGTTTACTTACTGCTAGTTGGTTGTAGTTTGTAAGGAAAGGGCAACTTGTACCTGATGCTTAAAACTTCAGCATGCTGGGTTTGGTTTGTTTTTGTCTGTTTGGGCATGGTAGTACCCACAAAGTCAAAATATGAGAAGATTGTGTAATCAACAAATAGTGACTTATCATGTTTTTGGCTGGCCTTGAAGTATACAACATGCATGTCGTCTTATCAATCCATGAGGTCGTTTTATATTTGCTTTCAGATAATGTGTATTTGATAAGGTGTATCAGATGATGCAAGTCATTTTAGAAGTCTTTAAGAAAGGACAAATGCAGTTCCATGTAAATCTAGTATAGGATCATTTGTGAATAAACTGTAACATTTATATTCATGCTACAGAGGGTTAAGGACCTTTGGCCATATTCTTGCCATAGCTGAAGTAGCAGAACTTGAGTCAAGCTGAATGTTTGTTGATTACAGTACTTATTAGAATGCTCTGTTTTGAAGGGATATGTACTTTTAATATGTGTTTTTAGATGAAAAGGAAAAAAGGAGAGATAGAGATGTTAATGTGACAAAACTTTGGTAATAAGAAAAACTGGAGAAATGAAAAGGGCAAAAGAAAGAGCTATGGCTGCTGAAGAAAAGTATTTCCTATTTGATGGAAATAGTTGTTAAAGAGAAAAAAAACCCATTAATAATAATAATAGATAGCATTTGTATAGCGCATATCCCCGCTCAACAGCAGGCTCTATGCACTATACACGTCTATATTATTACCCCAGCAGACCATAGAACACTCCGAAACATTCTCAGCTTCCCGGGAAGCATACAGTGCAAGCAGCCGATTAAGCGCTCAAACACTAACAAACTGACAAGATCTTCTCATGCCTTTTCTTCTTTCTATTTAGACAAGTCTGCAGAGGAAGAAGTGAGCGCAGACATAGAGGATGCTGGGAAAGATGCTGAGGACCTGGGAGAAGTGATGGGGCTTATGATTCACCGGACGGACAAACTAAAGAGTGATTTTCGCATCCTGCATCCCGTGATTCGGGTCCATGTTGTGAATGAAGAGACAGGGAACTATGTCGCTAAGCAGCATCAGTGAGTTTTGTGTCTGGGTTTGTGGATGAGCATTGTATGAATGTGTGTCTACGTTGTTGTCTGTGTGCCAGTGTATGATTTTACTTGTTTTCTGTGTGTGGTATTATTCATATTTGTCTTTGGGTTGTGAATATTTTCAGTGTGGATAAGTATTACCATTTGATTCTCAATTTCAGATGCATGCCTTGCTTGTTTTTATTTCTACGCCGAACTTAGTGTTTTATAGCATTCATATTGGTCCAACAATGTCTGATAAGATGTGGCAGTTAAAAAAAAGAACTCTTCTTCCTTTAGTTTGATAAGAAACGTCTGTATCATTCTGTATTTCCCATATTATTTTTATAATGTGAAATTTGAGAAAGTCATAATTATTGAAAAATTTGAAAGTAAACATTTGTTTATGACTTTTCAAAATTTGTGTCCGCAGGGATCGTGCTGTTACCTCTTTCTTTGAGACGTCAAACGAGGCGGTGAAAACTGTGCTCCCCATGATGACGCAGCCTTTTGATTTCAAAGAGAGAAAGTGAGTAGTTGATGGGTATTGGCTGAAAGTTCACACAATTTGGGTCATTTTATATTTTCAGCTTGAGAACATTTTGTTCTCCATCTTGGTGCTGAGGAAAAGTTTGTTTGCTTATTTTTCTCTGGGAGATGGGTTTTTTTCTTTCTTTTTTTATCTGAGACTGCATTCAGCCTATTATTGTTCACTGTGAATCCAATTTAACACCATCTGCTCATATGCAAATACATTTACACCCCTCACATAAATGCATACATGCTCATGCGTACTTGTCATTGGCCTGGATGGGATTTATCCACTACTTCTTGAATATATCCTTATCACTCATGAGTAGAAGTTTAGTGTGTGAGAATTTATGGTTCTGCAATGGACTCTTTCTCTCTCTCTCTCTCTCTCTCTCTCTCTCTCTCTCTCTCTCTCTCTCTCTCTCTCTCTCTCTCTCTCTCTCTCTCTCTCTCTCTCTCTCTCTCTCTTTTAAAAAAAACCCAGAATCTCTCTCTCTCTCTCTCTCTCTCTCTCTCTCTCTCTCTCTCTCTCTCTCTCTCTCTCTCTCTCTCTCTCTCTCTTTTAAAAAAAACCCAGAATCTCTTGAACTGCTTTATGAACTTTGTACCACGTTATAGATGCACTCATTGTGCGGTGTTCTTCTTCCAGATCCACCATCCCTGTGTGGGAAGATCTACTGGTGTTTAACGAGAACTTCAACTACTTTGTTCAAGCTCGTCCCAAAGTCTTGCTTCTTTTTGAGGTCAGTAATTACTGATGCCATTGTTGTATGCTTATCTCGTCCATTTTCTTAAAATGTACATGCTTTGGTTCCAGAATAAAGTAACAATTTGGTATCTATTATCTATTTGTGGTGGCCGAATTTTGCTATTCAAAAGGCTTTTTAATGGCAGCATCGATCGACATGCAGTTTTTGCTAAAAGATTCTATAAAATATTCTCCTGATCATGACGCCCTTCGTTTTTTCAGTTTCGAAACAGTTTTTGCTGGAAAAAGCTAAATTTTTTTATTTCGCCGATCGCTTTTGTAGGCCGACGCTTCTATCTCTGTAATTTTAGAAAATCCCTCAGGTTTGTTTATTTCAAGTCGTACTTCCGTTCGATACTTGTACTATCGCGCATTGTCACGCAATACTGAGCACTATTTTAAGTGTGCGACCCGTATGGATCTAGCCTCATGTTTTCTTTTTTTACTTGGTGCTAAATTCGACTGTGATCCTTTTGTCTGATGCCCATCATTGCTTTTTCTGGACTCCTTTGTCTATTATATATTTGGCAACCTGGAAACGCATGTGTCACTTTTCTCTCAAGATTTATTGCTCCATTCCAGGAGAGTGTAAATATAGTAGGCCAATGACTTTTAGTTGATATTAATGCACCGACCATTCCTTTCATCGAAAGGGGGCCCAGCTTGTATATATTTATGTGGTTTTAAATTTAGAAGATTATTGTGATGTAGCTTGAATTTGATATAGAAGTTGGTTGGGTTTTTTTTGCACTTGTTTTGTCCCCAATTAATAACATACGTACTGGGTCACTTACCCGCGTGATTTGTCTAGGTGTTTGGATTTTTTTGTAAGATGTTAAAAGGTCCAGCTCAAGTGTGACCAGGTTTTTGTAATTATCTCGCCAGCTCATCGACTTTGTCAGCATGAACACAGCCAGCCGCCAGTTTGGTTCACAGAAGGAGGAAGGTGGTTGGCACAAGATTGCTTGGGCATTTTTAAAGGTAGACAACTCGTTTGTTTTGTATGTTGACAAATATCCCTGTTTAATTCCCTTTTGAGAAGGGATCGCTTTGGCATGTAAATTTATTTATTGATTACATTGTGAACTAGCGTAACTGATTGCTGTTTCTTGTGTCTCATGCTGAATAATGGGGCTATACTATTTTCAAATAGTTCCTTGAGATAAGTTAATTGAAGCGCACATTTTCATAACGGAAAGACATAAAGCTAAATACCTCTCAAACTGCTTGTTTGGATGATCAGAATCAGGAAAAAATCTTACAAAAGTAAATCCAAATAGGAAGAATTTTCATATTGTACAAAAAAAAATACAGTCTTACTGACTCAATTTCCCTTTCCTTCCTTCTGTTGGATGGGAATTTAAAAAAAAAAAATTTTGTGGGGGGGGGGGAGATCTTTTATGAATGCTAAAGAAAAAGCCAAGAGAAATAGCATTGATACTAATGATTTGGTTAATGCACTTTTAGTATTGTTCATTCTCTTTTCATAGACCAGAAAAGATTAATACCCCATCTTATGCGCTGCGCCTTGAGTAAATTACTCCTTTCTGAAACTAAGAAGCAAGCCTTCTTTCCTATCAAATGTCTAATGTCCTAATCTCTCCTTTTTGTGTTTTTTACTCTTGTGTAAAACCTGTAATCTTCTGCACTTATATGACCTTATTGTGTTACAAGTGCCGTAAAACTCCAACTAAAACTAAGGTTAAAACGAGCGACTTGAAACTGAACTTGCACACCAAAGTATTTTTGTCTGTGTGGTTGACAGGTTGTGGGCAAGAATGACAAAGTCAATGTGGGGAACAAGTTACGTCTGCAGTTGTTTGTCCCTCCCTCCCGGTACAACCGAGTTCCTGGACAGACAGAGGTTCGTTTTTTTGCTTGTCTCTATTGCTGGTACCTTTTTGATATATTCTGAAAAAGGACTTTTTGTGGTCCTCTCACTCAGTTCGTTTTCCCAGTTTCAAGTAATATGAAAGATATTTTTGCAGTTGTAACTGTATGTTATTAATAATACTGAACAAAAGTATTTATTTTTGTGTCACTGAAAAGATCTAATGTTTTATCCTGAGAATAGGAGATTTGTAATATAAGCATTACTTAGCAGTGGTTTGGCCCCTGTTATGATAAAGTTAAGTGTTGTGCAGGCTGCCAATATGACTGACTTTCATTATTTGGTTATTGTCATTTTTGCAGATGCTTGTTTAGCTATTACGGTTGATACATTACAGTTTTGTGTTAGAAAGACACAAAGGTTTCATTTGGTCACATCTATTCATTATGATAACTTTTTGTATCAACGCCAACATATAGAATATATTACCGGGACATGTGTATTAGGAAAAGATAGATGCCATCATCATTTGTCACCTATGAGAAAAAAGAAAAGACACCATTTTTTTTTCCCCCTTCTGAAATCAATTTTACAACAGTTGACTTTGTACCTTCAATGTGAAGGTGGTAGCCAGCTCAGATGCAGCTAGATCAGTGCTGGTCACCACAGCTGTGTTTCATCTAGGGTTTGATAGACTCAAGGATGCCCTCATCAAGTGGCTTCAAATTTCCCGTTCAATCACTATTTTTGTGCAGTATCATTTGACCACTTTTAAATGCAGTTTGCCAACTGCATGACTGCTAATTTCAGGGATGTAAACAGATTTTGAAAAAAGAAAGGAAAATATACGGTGCACACGTACTGACTGGAATAAGAATACGGTGAGACTAAAATCATTATATTTGTTTCTTTCCCTCTATTACAACAAATAATCTCTATTTAGTATATATAATACTTATTGTTTATAGTACACTTTTGTAAAAAGCTGGGCCCAAATGGCAGGTCGGCTGGAAAAAAACGGAAAAAGCTGGAAGATTTACATCCTGTAATTTTAAAGGTTTCATTTACTAAACTACTGAACTATTTCCATCAGGTGTACCAATGGTGGCGGACGGCATCAAGGACTCCGTACCCATCTACGCTGTACGTCACACTGAAGAGCATCGAGCCCCCGGAGGAAGTGAGTGCTGCCATGCGATCCATGTTCGCTACACAAAAGGTGAGTTCTGACAGAGATCTTCTTAAAAAACGACCTCATCATTATTTTATCCTTTGTCCTCATCTGTTGTTTCTCATGTGATTTAGCTGTAATTATGCTAGCACTCAACAAGATCCATCATGTTGTAGTACATTTTTTTTTAGGTTCCAAGAATTAAGATAAAGTTATTGAGTCTAGAAAAGATGCAACCATAAGCTCAGAGAATATAGGTGTTCTTTGTCATATCCTTTGTCTTTTTTGTAGGTTTTGATAATGAAATGTGGGCATTTTCTTGTGTTATGTTCAAAGTCACTTGCCTTTAACCCCAACTCAGTTATTAGATAACCTTCCTATGAAAAGTACACACATGCTAACTGTAGGAAGTTCTGGACTATCAGCTTTGTAACTCTAATTTCAGTGAAAGCTACGAACTTCTCCGGCCTGCCGCAAGGTGACCAGAACAGATAATTTTCACCTGGGCATTATTGCGCCAAGTGGTCGCAAAGTTTTAAGCCAAAAAATAAATTCGAGAAAAATTTCCAAACCAGCCGAAAATGCCTCTTTCTCCGATTTCGTTATTTTGACGAGCACCTGTTTTCACCATGCTGCGTCACATGTTATTATGACACTGTCCAAAACGTCCACCTGCCTAAGACAACCATTTCCTCCTCGACAATGGATGGACATCTTGGACAATTTGAACTCCATTTAGTTTTATGGGACCTTTGTTTTTTTCCTCCAGTTGTGTAATAGCAGTACGTTGCTCACATCCACAGGAGCTGGGCCACATGAGTTACAAAGATCTCAAGTCCATGAACTGGACGGGTCGCGAGAAAGGTCCTCAGACAAGTCGCACGCTGACCACATGGACGAGGTTGTTTGGTCAGCTGTGCCGAGTGCCAAATACCTTGTCGCGGACACTGACTGCAGGGAAGAAAGGTTGCTTTGTCGTCCGCTTCTCCAACGATGGCAGGTGAGTGGGATGAGGGAATGTGACACCTTGGGGCTGTTTTCTGAGATTGTTTATATCATTTATTATTTAGCTGTCTATAAGCCGAGATTGTCTGTTTATTTGGCTGTGATAATTTATAGATACCTTATCTTTTTCTACTCAAAGGTGGTAAGACTTTTATATATTACTAGCTGGGCCCCCTTTCGATGAAAGGAACGATCGGTGCATTAATGTCAGCCGAAAGTCATTGGCTTATTTCTATGACATTTACATTCTACTGGAATGGAGCAATAAATCTTGAGAGGTGCAAACATTAGAAGGTTTAGATTTATACTGTCAAAACAGTGCGCACGGTTAGTGAACGGAAACCTCCTTTTCTAAAATTACAGAGACAGAAGCGTCGGCCTAAAAAAGCGATCAGCGAAATAAAGAAATTTAGCTTTTTGCAAGCAAAACTGTCTCAAAACTGAAAAAACGAAGGCCGTCATGATCTGGAGAATATTTTATAGAATCTTTTGGCGAAAACTACATGTCGATAGATGCAGCCATTAAAAAGCCTTTTGAATAGCAAAATTCGGCCACCACAAATAGATAATAGAAATAGTTTCAGTATCAAAAAGAGTTTTACTGCACTTGCAACCAATGTGGTCGTGCTGAAGATTAGATTAGATCTGTTACAAGAGTAACAAACACGAAAAAAAAAGGAGGAGAGATCAGGACAACAGATATTTGATAGGAAAGAAGGAGCAAACCGCACCAAAGCACCCACTAACCCCTCACATACATTAGTAATAAGAGGATAAAATTCATAATGTTAGATGATAATGCAGGCAGTAAAGACAAGCTCTTAGATTATGATTATAGCAGGCAATAGAAAGACTATGACTAGCCTGCTCATCCGGATGACTTGACTCTTGTTTTGAATGATTTCTATTTGTTCTTTGTGGACAGAAATCTGGCCTGTGCGTGTCAGGATGGCACCGACTACCCCATTCTAGTCTACGAGGTAAGGTTGTGGATAATGATTGTTTGGACTTTATAAATGTCAGATCCTTATGTAGTATTTTTGTCTTGTATCATGAATTTAGTGCTGTTTTCTGAATGTGATTTCTCCTAAGCTAAGTAAAGATGCAGTAAAATATACTGGGGTTTTGTTCGTCTGGAGGAGAGTTTTTTTTCTGGTGGGTCATGACCCCCCTGGGTTTGGGGGGGAAGGGGGTGGAGATATGAGAAAAAAGGATGATTATCCAGTCTTCAGTATGATACTCATCTCTGTTTTGATTAGGTGACTGGTTTGATTTTAATGACGGGGGCGTACAGACATAATTAGGACTTACCCATTGGAGCAAAATGGAGAGCACAGAAAAAGGCTGATGACCAAAAGAATCATTTACATTTCTACTTTTTGTGATGTAGGCCTATTTTAAGAATTTTTAAAGATGGTCCTGAAAAAAAGTAACCATAAAAATCGCTTCCAGATTCCATCAGGATCATTGAAGGGTCAGTTTCAAGGTCACTTTGGCATCATTTATGACCTGAGCTGGTCCAGGAGTGACACCCAGCTGATGTCTGCATCCTCAGATGGCACAGTCAGGTGAGGAAAAATGGGGTATTACTGCTAGTAATAGGGGGTGCCTATTGGCACGATTTGTTCAGTCCGGTTCGGTTTGGTAGGCTGGGCTAGCCATATTGAGGTAACAAAGCGACTGTCGTGGCACAAACCGATTGCCCGACACGCCGCCTAAAAAATTAGGTCGCGAATAGAGCGATCAGTTTGTTGATCCCCCAATGGGCACTGGGTATGGAACATATGACCCTCATTCGATTACCCAAAGCAGCATTTTTTTAATTGGCTTGATGGGGGACTTTTCAAGACCTGTAAACCTGTTTGGCTTTGTCCTTTTGGAGATGGACATAACATTTTTAGAAGAAGTCACGATAATGATATTTTACTTTACAGTTCATCATGCTGTAAGCATTATTTTTTGAGTGGTGGTATTCTGTTTTGTTAATTAAAAAAGCTGTGACTGACGTTTTGATGTAAGAGCTCTTTCTGTGTATTCTGAAATAGTTCATCAGTGATAAGAGAAGACGACTTAATTGTTCTCACAGTCAATCTGCGCAGAAATAATTGAGTGAGGATTTCAGAAATTTATTTCAGCTGGAAAGCAGTCGGTACTATTTGCCAGGTACATCACTTGAACTGGCAGATGATATTGTTCTCTTGTTTTTAAATACTCATCGCAAAAATCTATGAAACCCCATAAAATCCTTGTTATCTATAATAGAACTTTACATTGTTTTGCAGAGAGCATTTATTTCACTCAGCTTGATGCTTATTTTTGGGCTAAAATAGGGATATTGGGATACTTAGGTTGGTTGGAAATTGGATGATGAAATTGGTTTTGTGTAAATGTGGAATAGCTTTCTATGTACTAAAAATTTTGTGTGTGTGTGTGTGTCTGCCCTCAGGATCTGGGAGCTTGACAAGCTGGGGGAGACACAGTTACGTCTGTTGCCTCACCCGGGCTTTGTGTATACGGCCGAGTTCCACCCACGTGTGGAGAGTGTGGTGGTCACCGGGGGTTACGACGAGGTCATTCGAGTCTGGGACATCAGCGTTGACCAGGAGCATGGGATGGTGCGTTGTTTGTTTGTTTATGTGTTGTTATTGTTGTTGTGTGTGTGTGTGTGTGTGTGTGTGTGCGCGCGTGTGTGTATTTTCATGTCGTATGTGAGTTTGTTAATGCGTGTGTCTGTGTGTGTGTGCTTGTATGCATGCGTGCATGTGCGCATGTGTGCGTGCCTGCCTGAGAGCATATTTTTATGTCGTATATGAGTGACTTAATGTGTGTGTGTGTACTTGATGTTTCTGATTTTTTTAGGTTTATTTTTTTAAGAGGATGGAAGGGAAGGAAAGGATAGTGGTATTAGTTTAATGCCCTATTTTTTTCCTTTCAAATGTTTATCGTCCCTTTTTTTGTTTGTGTTTGTTACTCTCTCGTAACACCTCTAATCTTCAGCATCTGTATGACCTAACTATGTTCCAAGTGCAATTCAACACTTAGTAAAACAATAAAACTCAAGAATATCAGATTATTATCTTGACTTCTTCTAACAATTTTATGTCCATCTCCAAAAGGACAAAGCCAAACAGGTTTACGGGCCTTGAAAACTTCCCCAACAAGCCAAGTTAAAAAATGCTGCTTTGGGTAATTGAACGAGGCTCTTGTTGATCGTAAACTACAACCTTACCTCAGCTATAGGTCAAAGTTGTACTTTGAAAAACTTAATAATGGTACTTCATTTTTTGTTGATTATTCCCTCTCTTCCTACCACCTCCCCCTTCCCCCACTACTCCACCCCCACCCCCTAACCACTCCCCCCCCCACCATCCCTCCATACCCCAAATACACCATCACCCCTACTGCCCCCTCCCCAACCACCCTCTCCACCAACACCACCCTTCCACCTACCCGCTGCCCACCAACACAGCTTCAACAAGAGATGGAGGAGCACCACGGCCACATCAACTCGGTCTGCTTCGACACGGACGACGGCCAGAAGATGTACTCGGCAGACAGTGTTGGTACCATCCTCATCTGGAATGTCTTTGTCACAGAGCAGGCTGCTCGCAAACGTAAGTTTATCTTCACCTTATTTTTAATATCTTTCTTTGGGAAAAATGTCATATTGGAACAACAAAGTATCATCTTTTTTTTTGTGTTTGTGTTCTGGTTCTATGTTAGGTCTCACTGTACAATTTGTGTTGAGCATTTCAATATTTAGCTTTTCTTGAAACAAGACTTACATATATGTGAGGCGGCGTGGTTAAATCAGGCGCTCGTCAAAATAATGAAAGTGAAGCAACTGGCATTTTCCCACTGGTTTTGAAATTTTCATCAATTTTTTTTTTTGGCTCAACATCTTTCAAGCTCATTGAAGAACACATTTCTTTGTGGCTTTTTCTGAAAGACGTTGATTAAAGGCATAAGAGATGTAGATTTTCAGTTTCCACAGACTCTCAAGCTAAGGAAATAATGCAACTTTGGAGGCCATTTCCTCGCTAATTTTACCTCTGAAACCAGGTGACCCCCACCTCCTTCAATCGCCAATATCTTGACTTATATACAATTGATAAATGGATATTTTTTTCCATCAAAAGCAAGGCAGGCATTAAGATAATACCAATAACTCCACATGCCCCAAAATTGACAAGCACCTGATTCCACCACGTCTTGACACATATTAGTGCAACCTGTCAAACTTATGGCCATGTTTCTTAAATTTGTTCTCTGAGTTCCCCTCAGGACCTGGTGTAACAGGACCATAATAATGCAAATTGTCCTAAAATCACAGCTCATCAGCACTATAATATATTGATGTGCATGTTATATATTTGATTATTTACAGTTTACAAATACATTGGCTTCTTGTTCTTATCTTTGTTTTTTAAAGACTCATTGGACAGGTCCTGCTTGGTACTCTCTCTCTCTCTCTTTCTCTCCCTCTCTCTCTCTCTCTCTTTCTCTATCTCTATCTCTCTCTCTCTCTCTCTCTCTCTCTCTCTCTCTGTGTGTGTGTGTGTGGTGCAGTTCTCAGCATGAAATCACTGTTATTGCATCCATGTGCTTCTTTTTACCTCGTAATATCTTTTTTTTCACACCTTGTTTTTTTTTTTAAATTGTGCTCAAAGAATCCTTATCATAAGCCTCAGTCTGTTCTTTATTTTTCTTTCTGCGTTAGATTTTGTTAGAGACTGGACTCGCTACCAGGAGATCAAAGACCCGGAGCTGAAGGACACGCCCATCAACTTCATCAAGATGCACCCGAGTGGGCGGCGGCTACTTGTGCACGCTCGCAACAACTCCATCTTCATGTTTGACCTGAGAGTGTAAGTGAGAAATGTTTTCTTTCTGAGTTCACGCATTTGACCTGAGAGTGTAAGTGAGAAATGTTTTCTTTCTGAGTTCACGCGTTCTTGTCCTTTCTGGACTTGGAGATGCTAGATATGTAGTAAAATTGTTCCTAAGATTTGTCAAATACTTGTGGAAGTTAATATGACCAAAATCACGCCAATATTCACTGCTCATCCGATCTATATTGATTGTTTATATATTTGATAATTTACAAATTATAGAAACACGAACTTTTGTTTGTTTCTATGGATGATAGGGTGATGCATCTAGGAGACCATGGTCTGTACTATTGTTTGACTGTGTGACTTAATTGTTTGATTGTGTGACTTAATTGTTTGATTGTGTGACTTAATTGTTTGATTGTGTGACTTAATGGATTCTACTGAATTCATTAGCTGGATGCAGCTTTGAGAGGAATTTCCTTTTGAAAGGATTTTCATTTTGGGTCCTGTATTTGAGAGTTTTGTTGTCAAGAGCCAGAACCCCTTTTTCATTTTATGTTTTCGAAAAAATAATCTTTTTGTTGATTAAGTATTTATTTCATATATATATATATATATATATATATATATATTGACATCAATAACATTCTCTTGTTCCATGCTACCCTTCCCTCTCCCCCATCAGGCAACGAGTGATGCAAAAATATTTTGGTGCTGAGAACTTGAAGGAGAAAATCTGCAGCACCATTACTCCATGTGGCAGCTTTGTCTTCTCGGGCAGTGAAGATGGTAAACTGTACGCCTGGAATACTGACACTGGTGAGCCAATTTGTTGTCTGCTTCTTCTTCTTATCCTTGCCATCTTCGTACTTCTCCTCTTCTTCAGTTTCAGAAATTAACTCCACTGTTGCATGTTATGGGTTCTCTCCTCCCCC